CCCATGTGACATTTGTGAGGACACCCACTAGATTGTTCTCAGCCTGGGGAGAGATGTTTAATCCAACTCATGTGTGCAGCAACCACGAGGCACCACTGGCTTTCTACTGCCAGCCCAGCAGATGAGGGACAGAGCTCAGGTTTCAGCCACAGACCCCTCAGGAGCTCCCTGGACCCCTCTGCTTGTGCTTTATTCAACATCCCTCCTTCTTTTGCCACTGCAAGCTGTGGCTGCTCCTCCAGATACTGTTCAGGACCCCAGCCCTGGTCCACCACATGCCCAAGGCCCTTCTAATCTCCACCTTGCTGTGAGTTCTTGTGTACCCTACAAAGATAGAGTGCTCAGCACAGTTGGCTGCAGCTGTCCAAGCTGACTCTGCTTGTGGTTGTACCAGTGTTGCACAACCACAGCCAGTGTCCATGTTGGCAAGAGCCCCTTTGCAGAAACACAGTGTTTACCATCATCTCTCCAAACCACAACCCTCATCCAGCCAGGCCCAACTCTGACACCAGCATGATCCTCCTTCGCAGTCCCAGAGAAGAGCATCAGCAGCCAAGATCAACATCAACCACTCCAGAATCTGCCCCCTCATCAAGCAGGGCCCTGAGTCCTGTCTCTTGGCCAATTCAAATCATTCAACACCATTTTTGCTCACAGAATTCCAGCAGTGACATGCCCTGGTGACCTGCAATCCAAATGGTGTCCAATGAGTTCTCCATCCAACAGCTTGAAGTCAACCCACACCTTTACATATATCCATAAATGATATATTCACAGCATTACATGTTTCGTTTCCATTTGCACCAGGCATCTGTCATGCCCTTGGCAGCTTGACAGTGGCTGTACCCAAACCCTGCGGAGCCAGACCTGGGTTGAGGCAACCTCTGATATCAATCCAGGCTGGGGGATGAAGGGATTGAGAGCAACCCTGCTGAGAAAGACTCAAGAGGTACTGGTGGATGAGAGGCTGGACATGCCCCAGCCGTGTGCTCTGTGTGCTGGGCTCATCCCGCAGTGTGGGCAGCAGGTGAGGGGAGGATTCTGCCCCTCCACTCCACTCTCATGGGACCCCATCTGGAGCACTGCATCCAGCTCTAGGTTCCCCGATATAAGAAGGATGTGGAGCTGCTGGAGCAAGTCCAGAGGAGGCCACGGAGATGCTCAGAGGCTGGTGCACCTCTGCTGTAGAGACAGGCTGAGAAAGCTGGGGTTGTTCAGACTGGAGAAGAGAAGGCTCCTGGGAGACCTTAGAGCCTCTTCCAGTTTCTAAAGAGAACCTATAAGAAAGATGGGGGCAGATTTTTTAACAGGGTCTGTTCCAGTAGGACAAGGGGTGATGGTTCCGAAGTGAAGGAGAGTTGATTTAGATTAGATATAAGGAAGAAATCTCTTACAATGAGGGTGATGAGGCACTAGCACAGGTTGCCCAGAGAAGTGGTGCATGCCCCATCCCTGAAAGTGTTCAACACCAGGTTGTACTGGACTTGGAGCAGCCTGATCAAGTGCAAGATGTCCTTGCCATGGTGGGGGGTTTGGAATGAAGTGATGCTTTATGTCCTTTCCAACCCACACTGTTCTGTGCTTCTGTGATCATGCATTCAATCTCTACTCACTGGCTTTCAGTCTTATCTCCAGTTCCTTCCAGCCAGCAATAAAAACGGGGTTTCATTAGTCCTCTGACAGATGACAAATGTCCCTCTGGCAATATCCTGGCAGCTTATCACCTGCACACTCCCAAGCTTCCCCGCACCAGCTGCAGTAATTAAATCAGATTTTTCAGGAAGGGTACTTTAGGTGAAAGCTCCCAGCACCTCCTACCAGCAGAGCTGCAGCCCTGGATGGGCCTTTGCCAGGGTTATGGCACTGTTTGGGGACCAGGACTTTCTCCACTTTTTCCCCAGTTGATGCAGCAATGCTGGAAGAACTTAATTCCTGCCCTAAGCTCATTCCTTCTGTTGTACTTGGACATCCCTGCTAGAAATACCTTTCTTTAATTTGAAACTGCCAAATGCCTTGAGATGGGCAAATGGTTGTACAGACATGAAGTGCAGATCCTGGGGCAATGCCACTGGCTGTGATGCTCAAGGAGAAAGGAGGCAACAGAGCCAAGGTAACCAGTATTTTCCACAAACCTGTCGGGGAGACCCAGACAAGTGATGCCAAAGCTGCAAGCAGTGAGAAACTGGCAGAGATAGGGGTGTAGTTTGCGTTTTACTCTGCAGGATACTCCAGTTCCACACACAGGGCTGTGCAAAGAAAGTTTAGATCCTCTGGAATGTTCATTTCAAAGCCTCCCTGTGCCTCAAGCTACCCGGGGTGTGCAGAGCAGCAGCCCTTAGGCAAAGCCTCCTCTTTGCCCCCTGGATCTGGGTGGCAGTGAGCAAGCCCTGGGGTCAGACACTGTTCCCAAAAGGCTCCCAAAGGAAAGGTTCAGCCTCCTTGCCAAGCTGGCTGGAGTCCTATTTTCCTCTGGGAGGATCAAGCACACAGCCTGACTCCAACCCGGCCCAGGCCACCACCTTCAGCAAGGATTTTTATGCACCAAGTTGAGCTACAAGGAAAATACCTTCATGCTCAACTCTCCTGCAAACTAAGGACGTGCACAGCTGGCTCTGGGCAGCTTCTGAAGGGCAGCCAGAAGTCCATGCTCTCCATAACCCTCCTGCCTGGTGGCTTACAGATGTGCCCATGGGAAGCCCAGGCAGCCCAGACACAGCCCCTGAGCAGTGCTCCAGGCAGGGCTGGGGACAAGGGGTCTCACCAGCCCAAAAGGATGCTCTAAGCTGATGATACAGGCTGCAGCCAGGTCACAGACAGCCTCTACAAGCATTACTAGGGCCAAATTAATATAGGCCTTTTCTAGGCTGAGTCTTATAGTCTTTGTGAGAAAAGGGGTCCTCAGAGGGTCTCCAACATGAGCTGAGCATGCACGTAGACTCACTTAGGTTGGAAAAACCCTGTAAGATCATCAAGTTGCACCATTAACCCAGCACTGCCAAGTCCACCACTAAACCATGTCCCTAAGTGCCACATCTGCATGTCTTTTAAATCCCTCCAGGGATAATGACTCCACTACTGCCCCGTGCAGCCTGTTCCAGGGCTTGACAACCCTTATGGGGAGGAAATTTTTCCTAAAATACAAAAGCAACGGACAAAACCCATCCACAGTGGCCTTCCTGCCACCTTGGACTTTCTGGAGCTGCAAGTTGATGCACGGAGCTGCCGGCAGCTGCTCCGGCATTTCAATGTTGACCTCTAGAGGAAGTTTGTGGACAAGCAACGGCTGCGAGGGTGACACAACAACTGCGGAACCGAATTGCCAAGGACTTGGAGGTTAGCTGTGCCCCAGGTGTCCAGCAGCGATGACAGGCACAGCACGGTCCCTCAGCAAACGGGTCCTCCCCAGTTCATGGTGTGCTGGGCAGGACCGCATGGAAAAGCATCAATCACTGCAAACCCACCCTTTGTCCCCAAGGGCTGGAGATCTGCCTGTCGTTTCTATCACTGGGATCCCTGCTGAGGCTGCAGCGGGGCCACGGGACCTGCCCTCCAGCATGAGAAGGTCCCCTCCATCTTTCCGTGCTCCCTACCAAGGGCTCAGCGCTTTTAAAGCCTGACAAGTTCTGCTTTCCTCCCACCACCCACCCCCCAGCATCTCTCCTTCTGCTCTAAATTAGTCCGTTTATCACCTAAAATTAAATCAAGATCTGCAGTCTGCTGCTCTGTCAAGATGCGAGGGTGTGAACCACATCACGCTTCGCTGAGCCTTAAAAGGCGACAGAAATCTCCGCGCCCGAGATAAAGGTTCTGTGAACATCACTGCGGGCAAACTGCCGCACACCCAAAACATCCTCCCCAGCACAGGCAGAGGTGAGAAAAACAAATCCAGCCCTCTCTCCGCAATTTTCGCTCCCTCCCTGCTGCCCTTTGATGTCATGCCAGCCTCAGAGTGTGACATGTCTGCAGTGTCCCCTCTGCCTCTTCCCCACCAGCCCCAGCACAGCACTGGCTGTCCAATGGTCCAGGGACACCGATCCACTCTGGCAAAGCACCTGTGTGGGATCTGAGCAGCACCTTCTCCCTGTGTCCTTGCCCATCCCAACTTAACCCTGGTTCCCTGGCTTTTCTGTCTCCTGGAGAAGAGTTTTTCCCCTCCCTTTCTCCTCCCAGTAGAGTTGCCAGGGCAGGGGACCAACACAAGCATCCCTCCCTGTGCCTCCACCATGCCTGCGCATCCCTCCGGGCTGAGGAGGTGACATTAAAGTCTCCTTCACAGCAGCCCGGAAGGGATGTAAAACTCATCCATAGCCCCGTGGGGCAGCACAGGAGCACCCACCAGGGTTTTAGGTCCCATAACTGGGTCCTTCTTGCCCACAGTGTCAAGACAGGGGATGGCAAGAGGGAAGTTTCTGTCAGCTGCTGGGATGGAGTTTTGGGGAAAAGAGATGGTTTGCTGAGCAGCTCGGAGAGCACCACGGCGTGAAAGAGGCTCGCCCAGGTGAGGTACCCTTCCGAAAAGCCATTTACCTCCCCAGCCTCTCCTCCCGGGCTCCCAGCCCCTCCGCTGAGCACCTCCCAAGGACACAAATGTGCACAGTTCTCAGCCTGCATCGCCTCAAAACAGCCCCCGGCAACAACCCCTGCCCGGAACCGTCCCACGTCCTTTTGTCCTCAGCCCTTGCACCACCCAGAGCACCTTGCACCACCCAGTTTACCCCCACGGGCAGGAACAAGACGAAAAGCCCCTCAGCTCAGAGAAGGTGGATGGGGGGACAGTTGCCCTTTGCAGGCTGCACAGAAATACTGCCCCCAAACACAGCATGGAGGGGTGTCCCTCATCCTCCCCCGAAAGCCAGCGGTGCGGCAAAGCCGGGCACAGCCCTGTCCTCCCATCTCCTCACATCCCTGCCGGGACACGGACCCCAGCCCCAGCCCTGGACAGGTCCTCCCGCCGCTCCGGGGGAGCATCCCGGGGTGTTGCCCCTCCATCCATCCCCTACCTTTGCGGAACGGCATGGGGCAGGGGGAGGCAGGGCTGCGCTCGGACGCCTGGGTTCCGTGGCTGCGGACGCCTTCTCTTAGATATTATATATATTAAAATATATATGTTTCTTCTGTATTTGTGTTTTCTTCCTTCCTCCTCCTTCTTCTCTTAGAAGGAAACGGACATATTTGGGCAAAGCCCGGCAGAAACCCGCGTCATTCGGAGGGTGGCACTGCGGAAAGGAGGAAGTTCTTGCAATTTCAAAGCTTTTAACCCTTCGCTTCCTGGAGGCAGCAGGGCTGGGAGAGAGGTAATAGGGACAGGACAAGGAGCTGATGGCCTTAGAAAGGGGTGGAAGGTGCTGGGAACGGGTTTTTTAGTTGGTTTGTGGTGGATTTTTCCTTGGTGGGACCAGTACAGAACTGAGTGTAATGGATGTGAGTGGGATAATGGAGTTTAAGGCTCCTGCATCACTTCTGCTGATTTCTGAGCTCAGCAGAACACTGATCCCATCTTCTTTGTGGAGGCACTGGAACCAGTTGGGAAAATTCAAACGCTTCCAAAACAAGGGTACCAGAAACACAGATCCCCCTGTTTAGCATATCCTATCTGCCCATGTGCAGGCTGGATCACTCAAGGCAGTTGGAAGTTCAGATCCTGCTGTTCTAACCCCCATGCTGAGGATGGGTAAATCCCTCTCTCCCAGGATCATGGGGCTGGGATGAGTTGTGAGCTCAGCCCAGAGTCTTGGAGCACCAATGGGGAGTATTATCACCTGGGACAGTTGTTTATTTTTACTGTAGCTCCTTTACTGCCCTCCCTGGAGGTAGAAATAGGCATTGGCTTGGAGCTAGTTCAAGAGAAACTCTTTGAACTGCACATGACTAGACTCCAACCTTTCATCTTGGTGGTTAACAGTGATACCATGAGCTCCTTGCTGTGTCTTTGCTCCCTGCAAAGCTGTTTTTCCCTCCTGAAGTCACCAAGACTTTCCCCAAACCAGCCCTGTGGTGTTCTAAAGCCTTCCTGCCCATCTTCTAAAGCCTCCAGCCCCATCCATGATGCTCGTGGTGAGCATTCTTCATCCTCTCCAGTGCAGAGTCAGCCAGATTTGGCTTAACTTCCCCTGGAGAAACCTGTTTAAGCCAGTGAGTGAGGAGCATTGCAAAAAAAAAGTGCCCCCCAGGTTGTTATGAGAGCTGTGGCTCCAGGGATGGCAGGGATATCAACATCTTACATGGCATTGCTGCCTCTGCCCTGCTTGGGGAATGATGCACACTGCACATGGAAATATTCCTGAGCCCCAGCACCCTGTGAGGGGAAAAAAGAACAGAAGACTTGGTGGCATGGGCTGCTGGGCTTCCTTTCAACAACTGGAACCAGTTACAGCAGTTGTTTTTTTTCCCTGCCCCCACAGACACGGTTGGACAGGCTGGAGTTGCATCTCTGTCCAGGCAACTTGAGCAGGCAACCGTTTTCTTGGGCAAAAATCATCCAAAAATGGAATTTTGCAGGACATTTAGTAACCTTAAATGGCCACAGGCTGGGAAAGTTTAAGGCAGGTGGGTTGGACATTCATGTGCTGCTGCCACACAGCCCAGAAGGTAAAGGAGATCCCTTCTTCACTCCAGGTGATGGTCCAACATCCAGGCAGAAGGGAAGGACACCCCAGCCACACCCAAGGCCAGGGTAGCATGACCCAGGAGCTCTGCTGGTTCACCCTGACTCTAACCCAGTCCTCTGCTTTGGCAAATGAGTGATATTCCTTGGAGTGATGAGCTTTCAAATCCCTATAAAACACAAAAACAGATTTTTACAGTTTTATTACCCAGTATAAATGTGGATTAGCAGTTCATCTCCAGGAGAGTATTTCCAGCACATGACTCCAAGGCCTGGCAAAAGAAACAGCATGAAAAATACTCAGGGTTAGACCCAATAATGAACTTGAGTGTCTTGTCCACCGAAATACATGTTTGGATGCTCATGTCCAAGTCTGTTGTCCCTAATATTCTGCTCAGTGCCTGCATAGCTTGGAAGGGGCTTAACTCCTTGTGCAGTTTTTTTTCTGCAGCACTAATCTTGCCTGGACCCTGTCACTTCAGCTCCAAAAACTTCCCAGCAGGAGCATTTTAGAGCCTTGCAGGTGTGACCAGGTCCTTTATCAGAGGATGATGGATCAGGTCCCCATTAAGGTGCTTCTGTCACGTGGTCCCTGCTCTTGGATTTGCTCCAGTCATTCTGTGCCTTGGTCCAGAAAGATCTCAAGCAGAACCATCTTTGGTGTCCATTTTCCCTATGGGAAAATTCCAGAAATCAGCTTCCAAGCTCCAGCCAAGGCCATCACAGGAATCAGAGCATCTTATTGCTTCATTCCCTGTATTAGATACTATTGTTTTTCACCCACAGAAAGCACCTCAGGCATCTCAGTGGTGCCAGGCAGTTTAAATAAAGAGAGAAGACTTCAAACATAGTCTGGGTACTTCTGGTGGATGAGGATCTTCACCCCTTACTGACTGTTCAACAGATTTTCTGTCTGAGATCTAAAAAGAACAACATAAAAGAACAATATTAATGATAATTAAAAAATTGCTGAGAATCAGGCTGGTCCCAAAAGAAGGTTTAGATTAAACTAAACAAACTATGGTCCAGGACAGTGAAATCAGGGCATCTCCTCTCGGCAGAGCACAAATGCCAGGCTGCACAGTCAGAGAGGGTGGCAGTGGCTCAGCATCACTTGAGGTTTTCAGAAAAGTTGGGCAAACATGGTGGGAAAGGTCTCAGCCAGCACTGATCACGCCCTGGGGCTGAGGGATGGTCCGGATGCTTCTGGAGATCTTCCCAAGTGCTGGTTTCCATGGGAGAGGCACTCGGAGACTCGATGTTTGCCAGCACCTTTCCCAAATGTGTCCTGGAGGAAACTGTCTCCAAAGGACATAAAAGCATAATTTAATGACTATTAATATTTTAGGGGGGTTGTTTAGTTAGAACTGACACAGCAAAGGGTCCTTTTACCTGTCTCTCCAGGCTTAAACCCATATTTTGTAGAAACACAGAATGGTTTGGGTTGGAATGGATCTTAAAGACCATCTCATTCCAAACCCCCCATCAGGGGTAGGGACACTTTCCGTTATCCCAGGTTGCTCCAAGCCTCATCCAACCTGGCTTTGAACACTTCCAAGGAAGGGGTATCCACAGCTTCTCTGGGCAACCTGTGCCAGTGTCTCACCACCCTCACAAGGAAGAATTTCTTCCCAATATTCCATCTAATCCTGCCCCCTGGCAGTTTGAAGCCATTCCCCCTTGTCCTGTCCCTCCATCCCTTGTCCAAAGTCCCTCTCCAGCTCTCCCGGAGCCCTTTTAGGCACTGGAAGGGGCTCTAAGGTCTCCCTGGAGCCTTCTCTTCTCCAGGTAAACACCCCCAGCTCTCCCAGCCTGGCTCCAGAGCAGAGGAGCTCCAGCTGAGATGCAGTGACTGCAGCCCTCAGCTTCATCCTCAACCCCAGAAAAACCCTCCTTGGCCAAGATGGAGATGGAGACTGGGTTGGCCTTCCCCACCCTGCACCAGATCCATAGGGATGCACAACCAGGCTTTGTATCAAGGGGCACAGAGATGAGCTCAGCTGCTCAGCATTTCTGCACATACCTGAGGGAAGCTGAGATATCCTTACCCATACAGGGAATAATTGATCTTTATATCAGTGATTGCCCAGCCAGGAAATCAGTATCAACTCTCCTCCCTTTCCAGTCAGTTAGATAATGGGTGGGAGCAGTCTGGGAGACAGGAATGTCAGTGCTTTTCCTGAGCTGGAGCCACGCAGTCATTTCAGCTGAGAATCAGTCACGGGGATCTCCTTCAATACAGGAGTTGTACTCTACAAGCAAATAAGAATGCAAACAGCTCCTTTGAAATATTTATAACATCTTGAATGGCTTGTGTGGCACAAACCCAAGAAAGACAAGGGTGCTCGTAATTGCTGGCTCTGGGTATGTCAGGAGACATGCTTACATTGATTGGTCTGCCTTGCATAATCCTATTTTGTCCTTTTATAGGATGTTTGGGTGCTCGAGCAGGCTGAGAGCTGCTCTTGTGCCTAAGCCAGCCTCCAAGGTGGCACTTCAGTGACCAGGCACTGACAATCCCGCTTCCATTTCCAGCCCATGCCCAAAGTGTTTGCTAATTTTCCCAAGCTGCAGCAGCCAGAGACACCTGGTTGACAAGGAGGTGTTAGGTCATAGGTTGGACTCGATGATCTCAGAGGTCTTTTCCAACCCAGTCGATTCTGTGTAATTCTGTGCATGGTACCCAGCTCCCTTTCCCACAGCGAGCTCTCCCCACATGTTGATCACCAACCTGATTCTTCAGCCTTGCAAATTTAGCAGAAGAGAAAGTTGCAGAGAGGTTCATGGCCTGTCACTGGAAATGGAAATGCTGTTTCTGCTGGGAGAACAGGCAGCACAACCAGGTCATCAGGGCTTAATATGCAGCAGGGACTGGGAACAATAAGCTTTTGGAGACTTTGCAGCCAACCTCCCCCCCCAACCACTAAAACCTGACCTTGAGAGATTACTTTTATTAACCTCTGGTATTAGAGCTGTCTTCTTCATATCTCAAAGATTAAGCGCTCTATAAAGGTGTGGGGATGAGATTAGATTAGAAAGATACAGGTCAAAGACTTAGGACAAGGGGGAATGGCTTTAAACTGACAGAGGACAAGGTTAGATTGCAGATTAGGAAGAAATTCTTCACTCTGAGGTGAGACACTGGCACAGGTTGCCCTGAGAAGCTGTGGATGCCTCATCCCTGTAAGTGTTGAAAGCCAGGGTGGACAGGGCTTGGAGCAACCTACTGTAGTGGAAGGTGTCTCTGCCCATGGCAGGGGGTTGGAACTGGATGATCTTTAAGATCATCATCCAGCCCAAACCATTCTGTGATTCTGTGACCAGGTATTCTTGGTGCCTTGCACAGCTCCAGATCCTGGTCTCCTGTTTTGCACAGTTACCAGCTTTTGGGTTTTGGAGAGGAAGAAGGAACTGGACAGCATTTCCCAGGAGTGGTCTGCAGGCAGTAGTTACTGCAGCTGTCAGGTACAAACCCTCATGGCTTTTCTACAGCTGCCAGCTCCAGCAGGTTTCTAACGTGATTTTACTCTTCCCATGCAGGAAACTC